CCCCCCCCTCTCTCTCTCTCTCTCTCTCTCTCTCTCTCTCTCTCTCTCTCTCTCTCTCCGTCTCACAGCTCGCGCGGGAGACACAGACGGGTGGGGGGGCGAGAACAACAGGACGACACGCGCGTGAAAACATGAGCGGAAACGCGAAGAGAGTGGTGTGGGTGACTACTGTTGCCATGGCAGCCAACTGTTGTTGCTCTAGCAACTGTAGAGCAGTTGCCATGGAGACTGAGAGAGGCTGTTAAGGGTCAGCGTTAACGCTTGATGGAGGGCGTTTCTGAAGCTTGGTGCTGACGACGTCATAGTGACAACAGCCAATCACATTAGTCTTCTGGTATTGCATGAACGTGATTGGCTAGCGGCTAGGGTATTTGCATGAGGCGCTCTGATTGGCTGACGCCTGCTTGGCCCTTGAAAAGTTTAAAATTTTTCAACTTCTGTCGCAAGCAACGGACCCACAATTCATTTCGCCACCGCTCGAGTCCCTCCGTTTCAAGTAAAGGAGAGGCGTTGACGCCGAGGGCCGTGTGGACTGATGCGCGGGGTCAAAGTTGCAAGACTAGAAGAACTCACTCTTCATCTGCGCCGCCGTTAAGTCTTTAATTAAATTGGAAAGTAAAGTGAACTTTTTCACGGCCTCTATTTGACGCTGCATTACATCTGCGAGACGTATTTTTAGAATATTTGCTCATCTGCGAGACGTCTATAGGACGTTTGCTATCAGATGTCGAATAGACGTTTAGAAGGTTTGTGATTTAGAATGCATGTAAATTAAAACGGACACAGTGTTCTGTGCGCGCACACATAAAGCCGCGTCTTAGAGCTTGTTTAGAGTTCAGAGTTTTCTTATTCGCGCTCCCGCTGGATTTCTGACGGTTACCGCGCGCTCTCGCGAACATTCTAGTATTGTATATAATTTTTGCGCTATCGATATATGCGGGGTATTTGAATGCATGCTCGCGCTCAGGCGCACTCTGTGTGGAGCACAGCTGAAAGATCTGATGCTTGTCATTGAGCTCAGGATCTGTTGAGCAGCAAATCCTCCAGCATCTCCGGCATGTGTGATGCAGGGGTGCCAAGTCTGAGTTTCTTCCACGAAATTGGGCTGCTTTTAAACTGTTGCTGTGGGTTGATTTTCCCCCGTGGCTTAAAGGTTTGAAATATTGCATAAATTACATATGATAAAACTGCGCTTGCTGTTAAGTTTTGTGTAGGAAGCTGTGTTTATGATCAATATGCATAAATGTGTATTTTAGGTATGGAAATTACATTTTGAGTTTTGATATTTGGGATATGGTCTACTTAGGGTTGGGTACCAAACTCGGTACTTTTAAGGGTACCGACCGAATTGCGAGCGAGTACCGACTCACGTTAAATTAATCGGTGCCAAATTTCGGTAGCTGAGAGCGCATCTGGGCGCATACGCTACAGAGAGAGAAAGAGAGACTCGTTCAGACAACACGCAGGCCGAGCCGAAATGTTCTGAAGTGTGGCTACATTTCTAAGGCCATACGGTTTCTGAGAAAACGCGGACGGGATCGCGGAATCCATTCATAAAAACGTGATTTACTCTATAGTGTGATATAGTGAATGCCACGGAATTCGTCAATTTTGGACGAATAAATCAAAAGTATGTCTGCCACTTAATTCGAATCGCGATACGAACTAGTGTCTGTGAATATTAAAATGCAAAGACGGTTTAAATATGAATCCTGCATGTTCCGCTTGCCTCTGTATGTATGAACGCCGGAAACGCTGTTTTGTTTACTACACAAATATTGAAGCACGCGTGACGCTCGCGGTGATTCCCGGCCTCTGCATCTCACGATATGACGGCATGAACACAAACACGTAATCTCCAGAGCTGCTGCGAGAGTCGCTGCGCAAGAAAGCTACCGTTTAATTTGAGAAAACTAGCGTCATCATACTGTATACACACAGAAACCTCACGGCAACCTGTCAAAATAACAGTACGGTTTAGATCCTACCTGTCCGATCGCTACCACCTTGTTCATTTAAATGGGGAGTCATCTCAATTATCACCAGTAAAACATGGAGTGCCACAAGGATCTGTCCTAGGTCCTCTGCTATTTTCGATATACATGTTGCCCCTTGGTAATATAATTAGAAAATTTAACTGAAAAATGAGTGTTTACTATTGTCATTTTGCATTATTGACACTATTTTCCTAATTAATGCTGTTCAGTTGCTTTGTCACAATCTGTATTGTTAAAAGCGCTATATAAATAAAGGCGACTTGACTTGACATTAATATATTACTCTTGTATTACTTTTGTACAGTATCATGTACATCTTTAAATATTCAATTTTCTATCAAATTTAAATAAAACAATTAAATGATAAAAAATAAATATTACAACCAGATCAATCACTTAATTGTAGAAAAATAAAAACACAATGATTAGCCTGTTCAAAACATTTTAAAGGAATATTCACACAATTTTTCTTCCATGTATTAATTTCAACAGTAAACCTCAGTTTGTTTGCCAGAAAGTTGCTTTGATGTGTAGGTGATGATTCTCGCTCGTGATTGGTCGCATGCACACATCAACACAATCAGCACACGTGACGTGCACAATGGGACAATGCTTCAGGGTTCATATTTATTACGATACAACTGTGTTGGAAGCTTGTGTTTTGCACACGGTAAATCTGTTATATGGCACACCGTGTCACACTGAGCATGATTTGTAGCTTGTGTTTTGGATAGTTTATACCCTGAGAGCACACACACTCAACACATCACATATATTTCATGTCTGCATTTACATCTGCAAGCTGGATTTTTTTAGATTGTTCATCTGCAATATGTCTCTAAGACGTTTCCCATCAGATGTTCAATATATGTTTAGAACACACACACTCTCTCACACACACTCACACACTCACCAGTCCCGGTGTGAGCGCTCGATCTGCCGTCTGATTCTCAAACACCGTCAGCTCATAAATCTCCTGAATGTCTGAGGAAGAAACACACAAACTTCATATTAAAGGACCAGAAACACACTGACAGCCAAATGACTGGAATAGTTAAGATGATTTATTGTTTCTGAAAGAAGTTTCTTCTGCTCACCAACGCTGCATTTATTGATCAAAAATACAGTAAAAACAGTGAAATATTATTCTAATGTAAAACAGCTGTGTTCTGTGTGAATCTCTGTTAAACTGTAATGTATTTCTGTGATGTGCAGCTGTATTTTCAGCATCATTCCTCCAGTCTTCAGTGTCACATGATCTTCAGAAATCAGTATAATATGCTGATCTGCTGCTCCAGAAACATTTCTGATTATTATCAATGTTGAAAACAGTTGTGCTGATTAATATTTTTGTGGAAACTGTGATGCATTTTATTTTTCAGGATTCACAGATGAACAGAAAGTTCAGAAGAAGAGCATTTATTTGAAATAGAAATCTTTTGCAACTTTATAAATATTTTTACTGACACTTTTGATCAATTTACTGGTGAACAGCATTTATTTGAAATAGAAATCTTTTGCAACTTTATAAATATTTTTACTGACACTTTTGATCAATTTACTGGTAATGCATCAGAGTTTCCACAGAAATATTGTGCAGCACAACTGTGTTCAACATTGATAATAATCAGAAATGTTTCTCGAGCAGCAGATCAGCATATTATACTGATCTAATGAAAACAGTAAATCATCTTAATTATTCCAGAAATATTATTAACTGCTTATTGTAATAATATTTCACTGTTTTTACAGTATTTTGTTGAAATAAATGCCGCCTTGGTGAGCAGAAGATATCATTTCAAAAACATTAACAAATCTTAATTATTCTCGTCTTCAGTGAATCGTCTACCAGCAGCCAAACCTGATGCTGACTGACAGCTCCATTCATCCTCAGCGACCAATCACACGCTGCTTACCTGCCAAGCCCCGCCTCCAGTGACCTCTCTAATCTGATGATGTCACTCGTGTAAATCTCCCAATGACAGATTACACACTAAATATAGAGTTCACACTGCCACTCACTGCTGATTAGCTCTGTGTGTGTGTGTGTGTGTGTGTGTGAGTGTGTGTGTGAGAGAGAGAGAGAGTGTGAGTGTGTGTGTGTGTGTGAGAGAGAGAGGGTGAGTGGG